TCGGTCGGGTCCTGGGATTCGTAGACCCAGCTGTCCGGAGCTCCAGCCTTGGCCCCCTCCTTGGGCCTCAGCTCTGCTCCTGCGCCACGTGGCACCGGGAGGGTGTCTCCAAGGATTTAGGTAGGAGGAGGTAGTGCCTGTCCTGAGGCCCGCCCAAGAGCATCATGGGAGCTGTAGTTTCTCTGGGGAACATAGACGGCTATGAGCTCCTCCTGGCTTTTGTCCAGTAAGTAGCACCTCTTTCGTGTAAGACATTAAAATAAAACATCGTCCGCCAAGATGAACCTTAAGCATTTCCGAAAGAAGCCGTGAAGGGCGAAAGAACGATGCAAGAAAGGCAAACCAAAAGATAATCGCCGGGGAAAAGAAAGGGTTAACATTTGCTACGCAAGCGCACTGAGGGCCTGCGGGTGGGCGGGTACGGAAACACGATTCCTGAGAGCAGTGTTTTCCCCGGAAGTGCCTTCCCTCCTCCCGGCTCCGCGCGATCGCAGCTTCCCTACCTCATTTGTCCTCGCCCCTCCCCGTCCCTCTACGCGTTTTGGTTCCTGGTTGGTGCTTCCTGGTAGCAGCCGCGGCGTGAGTAAGTGTGTGACGGACCCAGAGCCGCCCGCGGCCGGGGTACCCCTGCCCACCCTCCTCCTCGCCCGCGGGGCTGTAGCACTAGCGCGAGTCTCTTGGCCGACCTCCGCATCCCCTCTGGCCCCACTCGTGGCGGCGTGGGGCGCGACTCTTGGCTCCTCAGCAGAGTGCCTTTCCTCCCGGCTGGGCTGACTGGCCCGGCTGTTGGCATTTTCTTGCAGGGCCAAGGCCTGAGGCCGTGGTTCACGAAGGGCTGAGCGTCCGCGGCCTCTGTGGGGTGTTGTGTCTGGCCGTTTTCCCTCCCGCTCCGGTCCCTTCAAGCCGCCAAGAGTTCCTTGGCTTGGGGGAAGCCGGTCAGTCGGTTAAACGTGGAGGTCCGGCCGTGCCCGAGGGAGCCTGGCCTGTGCGGACCGGAGGGGCCGGGTCAGGTTCAGCCTGTGCTGTGAGAAGCAGCAGCTGTCGCAGCGGGACGGAGACGAATGCCAGGACCTGAGACCCTTTCCCCGTGTAAAACAGAGCGACTTGCGCCACGGTCCCTGAGCTTGCCTGGGAGCCGCCAGGCCGTGCAGCTCCGAGGAGCCCGCTGCGCTGGGACGCCGGCTGCAGCCCCCGGGCCTGCGCCGTGGCTGCGGCGCGGCGCGGCGCTGGGAACCCCTTCTCGGGCTGCAGCTGCCTTAATTTCAGGTTACAGGATCGAGTTACGGGCCCGCGTAGGGTCTCGTTAGCTTCATGAATGAGTTTCTCGGAGCCCGTTTGCACAAATACAAAATCAGAAAATTCAACTTGATGATTCTTGCAGGTGTTTCGAGTACTTAGTGTGTCCTTTCCAAAGACTCTGGTCTGTGTGCATAATTACGACAGTATTATGCTTTGAGGATAATTGAGTGTTGCTGTTTTCAAGGGAATCTGAGCGTAGGGAATGAATGAACCGAAGAAATGAAGTGAGCATTAGGTGGTAGAACTGGGGATGGTAAGAGGTTCAAGGGCAAGAGTAGGAGTCACAAGAAAAAGGACTGACGGGAAAGGTGGGGAAGGAGGTGTTTCCAGACAGGGTTCTTTCCCCTAAAAAGACTTTTCCGTATTGCAGGAGCAGCTGGGACACCTCTGAATGAATTTAGCTGTAGTGTTTTCCCACCAAGGTCTTGTGTTTTGTCTTTGTGACCCTAGTTTCACCCGTTCAGATTCTCTACCCCATTTAGGTCTGATTCTTAGTGGCAGTCACATTTGAAGAAGGGACAGAAATGCTAACACTACTACAGCCAGCGTATTTGCGTTTCACATCTGGTCCTGTCAGGGCACTCCTTAAGAATGAGTCAGAAATTTCAAGTTGAAAATAAACTGTGTGTGTTAATTGCGTTCTAGTGAAAATTGTGGATTTAAAATCAAGCTGTGGATTAGGTGTAAATCTTTCTGAGGTGGACGCCCATGTCATCAAGAAGGAACATGCAGGCTAGCGATTTTGTGAAAGTGCTGGAGGAAGATGAGCAGAGTGTCTGGAGTGAGCAGTAGGCAGTGGGTTGGCTTTAAAGATTTTATAAGTAGATTCTGGAAGCTTAAGGAAACCTTAAGTTAACCTAGTTTTAAAAAACTCTGCGAATACCATTCCTTCTTTGGGACGGTGAGAGGGTTTGACTTTATTCTGTGTGTCTGTTGTCTGCATCCTCAGTTTAAAGGCTAGGTCTCAGTGCCAAACCTAGTAAGTGAGGTTCTCGGGTGAGAACTGCCCTTTGTGGCCATGGATTTGCAGTAGTGTTTGGAATACCAACTTGGGAGGCTCTTGGCTGGTAAACTGACAAATTTAAGATGGAAAATGCCTCTTTGTTGGTGTTTTTAGTCTGCTGGAAAGTAAAATGGATAACTAACTTGGAGGTCAGTTTAGGTGATAGTACCAATGCAAATTCAGCATTGAAGAAGGGTTTGGTTTTTTAAAAATCTTTATTTAAAATTTATTTATCTGTATATTGTAATTTTATTCTAAGGTTGTAGTACTTGGGTTAGAATCAGGGAAATGTGATTTATTCCTGGCTATGTTGTTAACCAGCTGCATAATCTTGGACAGGCCTTCTTGTCTCTCTGGACCTCCAGTTCCTTATCTGTCAGTTGAGATAATCTGGACAGTTCCTTCCAAATTTAAAATTTTGACTGTGGCAGGACACGTGTTAACCTAATTCTATCTAGTGACTGCATATAGTGATTAAGAAGCTGAGAAGGCCTTTCAAGTGTATGTATTTCATAGCCTTCCTCTGCTTGCACTTTCTTGAAAAGTAAATTAAATGCATTTGAATGTAATTAAACTCGAAACATGAACCACAACAGCCTCAGGCAAACTGTCACCCTGCCTCCATAAGCTCCAGAAATAGAGCAAGTTATGGTAAGCACAGTTTTGAAGTTCAGCAGGTGCCAAATCCTCTTAAAGGCCATAGGGGCTGAATTGTTAAATTCATTTTTCTACATTTCAGGGACAGAGATAAACCCTTAGACCCAAGGAAGTCAGTTATATTATGTTGCTGTGGTTTGTTTTTGGCATCCAGTCACAGGTGTGCCTATGGCTTGATTCTTAATCCCTTTCCTTTGGGATGGCTCCAAGAGTAGCGCAAATTTGTAACTCTGTAATTTAGCTCTTTAATTTTTTTCTGTGCTGCGCCGGAATTATGTTTTATCTTAAGTCCACACTGGATCCTCAGGATGGATCCAGTGAGGATTTTGAAGGAAGCATAATTCCTTTGACTTCTTTTAAAATTAATTTACCTATTAAATAAAAGGAAAGGTTCATCTTTTATTTGAATTCCTCTGAGGCTAACATTTCAATATAAACTGATAAATGCTGTGAATAGTCTTATTCAGACAGCCACTGTTCAACTGGCATGACAGCAACAATGTAGCAACCTGAAGGATGCCCTATAACAAGAGGACAGGTATAGTGTAGCTTATTTCTAGAAGAAAAAAAGGCATTGCAAGTGCATTTCTTTATTTTTGCAAAACGAAACAAGAACTGCAGCATGAGTGGGGTGTGTTCTTGGCTTTCCTTCCTGGGATTCTTGAGGTCAGCGGTCAAATCACTGAGGCTGCTCTTAGAATACCCTGACGTTTGGGCAGACTTGGAAAACCACTCTTGTCTTAATTTTATTTGTACTCTACCTGAAAGTGGAGTGGTAAGACTGCACTGGCATTGTTACTGTCCTCTAGGCCACCCCTGATTTTTGAACAAACTGGAGTTATTTTTCCAGAGTCGTCATTTTGAGAAATATTCCATGAATACCAATTTGAACATCTACCGTGCAGATTTTTGGTTGGTAATATGAGAATTTAAGACTTTTGAGTAGTTGAAGACAACTATGAAATTTATCCCATAGTACTTTCCGTATTTTATGTCTGCCCTAGATTGTATTAGAGCTGAAGAACAAGTGCTGGAAGATATTATCGATCTGTTCATTCTTTAAGTCTGCAAACATCTTTAGATATTCACCTCAGTGCCATGCTGTGCGTGGTTTTGAGGATCCATTGTCTAACATAAGTGCTTGTAGTTCCTATCCTCATAGGGTTGTGGTCTGCTTTTGGGAGATTTACATGGAATAATTAGAAATGGGGTGGATGTTTTGAGATGTGAAGTGCTGTGAAAGCCTGTCGGGGTGGTTAATTTAGTCTGGTGAGGCCAGGCAGGCTTCCTTGAGGAAGTGATGTTTCAGCTGAGTTGAGGGATGAGCAAGATTCAATATGCTCCCCAAACCAAAAATCCACTTCTGGCCAGCCGATTCTGACTCACAGCAACCCTTCGGGACAGAGTAGAGCTGTTCCAGAGGCTTTCCAAGGTTGTTGATCTTTACAAAAGCGAACTGCCACATCTTACTCCCATGGAGTGGCTGATGGGTTTGAACCACTGACCTTTGGTTCACAGCTAAGCAGCTAAGCACTAGGACAACAGAGCTACTTCAGTATGCTCACAGGAAGGAGAAAAGTGTTTCTGTTTATTATTTTATTCTCAAAGTTGTTGAGTTTAGCCCCAAATTTAGGTACTTTGTAATTTTATTTCATATACATCTTGTAACTAGCACTGAAGTAAGCGAGGTTAACCAGATATTCTTATGTATCCTTTTGGTCAAGGTTCAAAAGGCCATAAGATTAATTTTTAGTTGAGGTAAAAATATATACTAAAATAGTAAATTTGATAATTTTTTCCTCTTGTGGCTTTTAGCTATAGTTGAAATAATACTCCTGCGTTGGAATATATACCTGAAAAGATGAAGGGTGGAGGAATAGTGAGAGCTACTTAAAATTTTAAGTTGCTGAGAACAGTGGTAGCCTTACATAGAAGTTGTTTCTAAGGGCTGACAGTATTATGTAGTAAAGAGACGTGGTCTGAGCTTTCTCAATCCCTTTGTGTGACTTTGTCTTTTACAGAGTGAAGCTCATGACTTTCCATGATGTTTGGTGGTTATGAGACTGTAGAAGCGTATGAAGATGACCTTTATCGTGAACACTCATCGAGTGAAAGTGTCGACAGTGAGGTGGAATTTCAGCTCTACAGCCAAGTTCATTATGCCCAAGATCTTGGTAATGCCAGAGAGGAAGAACAGGAAGAGAAGGACTCTGGGAATTCTGAATCACTGAGTAGTAAACCAAATCAGAAGAACCTAATTGTCCTTTCAGATAGTGAGGTCATCCAGCTATCAGATGGGTCAGAGGTTATCACTTTGTCTGATGAAGATAGTATTTATAGATGCAAAAGGAAAAATACTAGAATTCAACCACAAGAAAAGACCCGGGGTCCTCCTGCTTTTCTTCATTCTGATGAGTTGGCTGATCAGAAATGTAAGAGGGATATTGAGAAGCTCAAACCTGAGGAGAGATCAGGTACAGTCCAAGAGGTCATGATTATAGAGGTCAGTTCGAGTGACAAGGAAGACAGCACCATCTCAGAAAGCGAGGAGGTGGAAAGCTGGATGCTGCTGGGATGTGAAGTAGATGACAAAGACAATGGCATCCTGCTCAACCTTGTGGGATGTGACAGTTCTGTTGGTGAAGGTTAGTATCACGTTGACCATTTTGAAAAGTAGTGTCATCTTTAATAAGGAAGACTGCTTTCTCTAGACGAAAAACCAGTAGGGTCTGCTCCATTTAGTTTCTCACCTTTTAGACTGCTCTAGTGATGGTCTGTCTGAACATCAGAAAGAGTGTGTCAGAATCCTAAAGACATTCTACTTCTGCTCTGAGCAAAGTCCTGTCTGCTTCCTGATTGGCCAGAGCCAGCTCTGGACTTGAATTCTTAGTTCCCCTCTCTCTCTGCTTGATACCACAGGTGAGTACTCTGTTCACCTCTGACATTGACCCTGTATTCTCATTCTGCTCACTCTGCTGGGACTACTACATCTAAATGATTTGCTTACCCAGGACCTGGCCAGATAGCAAGCATGGGGAATGTACACAGAGGATATGGGGTTAGGATTTCAGGAACTCCACAGTCAGGAAGCCAAGATAAATTGGGAGCTCTGGTAGCATAGTGGCTAAGACATTTGCCTGCTAACTAGACGGCTGGCGGTTCAAACCCACCAGCCACTCCTCGGAAGGAAGGTTGGGCAATCCTACTTCCGTAGTGATACTGCCTTGGAAGCCCAAGGAGGGGTCGCTATGAGTCGGGTTTGACTCGACGGCACATAACAACAACAACAACAACAGTCAGGAAGGCAGGGAACTGTGAAGAGCTGTAAGTCTGCAGTGGACTGTCGGAGGGAATGCCGATTCACATCTCCGAGCGTTGAACCTCAGTGATGCCTTTGTCTCCTCCATCAGGTCTTCACCTAGTCTTGATGTTTGTTCCTTTACAAAACCTTTACCTGTCACTTTCTCCCCATTATGCCTAATGCCTGGACACTTGGATAGTTCTCTAAGTGTTCTTTCTTCCTCAATATTTGTTCTGCACACTGTTGTTAAATCAGCAGTCTTGAAATGCCCTTTTATTTGCAGTACTTTACTGATGCTCCAGAACCTTTGACAGCACCCTGCTGTCCTTACAGGCGGTTGTGGCATTGAATGGAGGCAGTACTCGAGAGCCCTGGGGATCTACAAACTATTTTTTGTGGGAGCTGTGTAGTGAATATTTCAGACTTACAGGCCACAGGGTCTCTAATGCCTTAGTTCTGCCTTTGTAGTACAAAAGCAGTCAGAGATAATACTTAAAGAGATGGAAGTGGCTTTTCCAGTAAAACCTTTTGTTATAAAAATAGGTGGCTATCCCAGGCTGTAGTTTGCCAACCTTGAAAATTAGATAGCTAAAGGAAGAAAATAAATAGAATAGCAGCTTCAACATAGAGCAGAATCAAAATGTTGTCAGAGTAAGGAGATCTGCTAATATATTGAGGTGGAGGTGAGAAATTTTTGGAAAAGGAAAGATTAAACCTAATGATGGGGAGGGGATCTAGGTAGGAGAGGGGTTGATGTGTATGTTGATGACTTAGTCTTGAAAAAGATGATGAGGGGAGCTAGGTAAGAGAGGACATTGATGTATACGTTGATGAATTAGTCTTCAAAAGGAGAAGACACAGCGTTAATTACTAAATCACCACACATTTATAGAGAGGCAGAGAAAGAAGGATAAATCCAGAGGGGTTGAGGTGGAGAGGCAGGGGGTAAGGGAACGTATGAGGGCGTGTGAGAACATGAAAGCCATAGTGGCAGTGGCAGTGGGCAGGGGTTAAGTGGAAGGTTGGCATGTGGACAGAATGTTTAAGTGCTATGGGGGACACTCTTCCTAGTATTTTAAAGATGACCACCTCTAACTTCAGACATTTTTGTGGATCCCCAGATGATGTTAAGTTATATTTTTGATATACATAGACCCCAACTTAGGACATATTTAAGTTACAACAAACCTGTCCTTAACCATCATCCATTCTTTCTGTGCATCTTTGTTGTTGTTTGTGCTGTCAAGTCGGACCCGACTCACAGCGACCCCTCCTTGGGTTTCCGAGGCAGTATCACTATGGAAGTAGATTGTCCAACCTTCCTTCCGAGGAGTGGCTGGTGGGTTTGAACCGCCAGCCTTCTGGTTACAGTCAAGTGCTTTAGGCACTAGCTCCCAGAGCTTCTGTGCATCTTAGTAATGTGTATTTCATGCACTGTTGCAGTAGGGAGTGTGCTGATGTTACCATTTTCATGCCAACCCCCAAAGACAAATAAAGTTCAGATTGATAAAGATGCTGATAATGAAAGACAGTAATAACGAAAACAGAAAAAATGAAGTATTTGACTTACAGTCGAATCATCAGAATGGAGCCCTGTTGTAATTTGGGGGTTACCTGTATTTATTAATTGAGAAAATTCATGTTAGTGGCAAGTTACTATTGAGTACTTTCTTAATGGCTTCGTGTTGTATTAACCCCAACATTGTCCACATACTTGAAACGTACTAACACACGTGCTGGGAGAAGGTCTCTATATAACGTGTGTCCCTCTGGAGATGCATTGTGGTGGTGTTATGTGCCGTCCAGTCGGCCCCCACTCATAGCGACCCCTCCTTGGGTTTCCGAGGCAGTATCACTATGGAAGTAGATTGCCCAACCTTCCTTCCAAGGAGTGGCTGATGGGTTTGAACTGCCAGCCTTCTGGTTAGCAGTCAAGCATAGGCACAATGCTACCAGAGCTCCCAATTGTAGTGACCCATTTTACAGCCCCTGGAAGTCTGGGGCTCTTAAAGTTAGAAATTGTTATAGTAACAATTGTTATAGTAACACAGAGAATAAAAGGATTGCTTAGAAGTAGTATTCCATCAGAATTAAGAAAGGAACTTGTGATGAACTTGCTCTGAAGGGTTCCAGAGCTGTTTCCAATAGCCTGGGGCAAGAGGAGAAAGCTCAGATCACCCAGGGTTAGGCTTAACGTTAGGGAAAGGGCCTATGTGGTGGTGTGTTCTCTGAATTGCTTCTGATTGAGGTCACACGCCGTGTCCTTGGTCTCTGGCATTGACGATGATCAAATCGGCATCTCCTTTGCTTGCCTCTTTCTGGAGTTGCAGTTCCCTGTGTCTACTAAATATTTCTATTTGCGTATCTCAACTTCGTTTCAGATTTAACATACTAAAGAGAAAGCTTGGTAGATTGAAAAGAAAGTTTGTTATTTTTCCTTTGAAACCAGCTTTCTGTCTCTTGGTTTCTACCATTTCACTCAAGAATGTGTAGAAATGATGATGTTGATGGTGGGATGTGGGGAGGTTGGGAAAACCATGAACTAGGTGCCTAGCTGAATTCATTGAGGAGCTCGGCACTGTTTTATGAGTGTGGTAAGTGAGGGCGATGAGAAAATGGAGAGGATGTGAACCTGCATGAAATCAACCACTTTAAAGTTGACAATTCCCTGGGCATTCAGTGCAGTCAGAATTTTGTGGAATTAGCGCTTTTTGTCTAATTCCAAAATGTTTTTTATCACTCTTGAAGCAGACACCTTTCCCATTAAGCACTCACTCCCTATTCCCCCTGCCCCTAGCCCCTGGCAACCACTAAGTTGTTTTCTGTCTCCGGGGTTTACCAATTCTGGATATTGTTTGTAAATGGAAAAATGCAATAGGGAAGCGTTGGTGTCTGACTTTCACATGGTGTCCTGTTTTTGACGTTTGTTGCAGTTGTAGCAACTTGTTCAAAACCACATTTTTCTCTTTGGCTGACTAGTATTCCATTGCGTGGATACACCACATTTTGTTTATTCATTCATCCTTTGATGGATATTTGGGTTGTCTTTATGTTTTGGTTATTGTGAATTGTGCTGCAGTGAATGTTGCTGTCCAGCCACCTGTTTGAGCTTCTACTTTCTAGGCTTGGATATACTCCTGGGAATAAAATTTAAATTGGAATTTTAAACCAATCAATAAGCAGTATATGTAGTGTTGATGCCTATTGGAGTGTGTTGTCACTCTCATCGTTATTCTCCCTTTCATAAGTAGCTTTGGTAATAGATCTGGTGCAGTTCATAGAGATGAGATTTTTTGACGTCAGTGGAGGTTTGTGGAAATTCCGGCATGCTTTTGAACACTGGCTGTAAAGCAGCAGTGGCTGTTTGTGCACTGTCTTCCCCCAGAACTCCAAAAACCATGGCATTTTAAAAATACAGTCTAAGAGAAAAGGTTACAGATCCTTGACGGAAAGTTTTTCCAAACTCAGACATCTCCTTATGATAAAAACAAACTCACTACCATCAAGTAGATAATGACTTATAGCGACCCCCTGTGGGTTTCTGAGGTGGCAAATCTTTACGGAAGTAGACTGCCCAGTCGTCCTTCTGTGGAGTGGCTGGTGAGTTTGAACCGCCAGCCTTCTGGTTAGTAGTCACTTGCCTTAGGCACTGCGCTTCCAGAGCTCCGTCTTATGATAGCATAATTATTTGCCGTATCTGCTACCTTTATTCCCGTTAATTGGAAATCATCACACATTTAGTGAGCATCTACTCCATGTAGAAGACAAGTGCTAGGGATTTAAAGTGACCAAAGGTACAGTCCTAGCCTTGGGTGGTGTAGTGTCTTATGGACGAGACAAAATGTAACAGGCTAAGTAATTTATGGAAGTCTCTTAACCATGGGAGTTAAGTCTCTTAATATCCTGGTGATAGATGTGGTTGGAAAGCTTAACATCTTATAAAAAATAGGACGAATGAACTTGAGGTAGTCCGAGAACCCATGAAAGACTATATACATACGTGTTTTCCATTTACTACTGTCGAGTTTGAGGTCAAGAGCACAGTACCACTTCTCACTCTGTGCAGGCTTCAGGCTTTCCCTCACCGCTTCCGTTTCAGTGAGATGCTGGTTGTTTTGCTTTACTGGCAGATCATTCACAATAAGGAGATCCTTGTTTCCCTTCTTTTCTTCATCTGAACATTCAGCGTGTTTCTGATTTTCTGATTTGAAGTTGATGCCTAGCATCCTGAGGTTCTGTGGAGGTCTTGGAGATGTAATCCTTATTTGACTGCCCAGCCTGGCCTTCCTCAGGATGTACAGCCTGTGGTGGTGGTGGTGGAGGTGGTGGTCTGCTTGTAAGAAG